AAGAGTTTTAAAATAGCCTTTTCTTATCTTTTCAGATGAGTTCCATTCTGTTGAGCTGTGTAATTTCAAATGCCATTCATTGTAAACCTGTTTTACAGCATTCAGTGTCATTGATGTCGACTATCTTCAGTGACTTCATTTAACTTCAAGTCAATCCTGAAAATAAAGCTAAACTGTATGGAACTCGAACAACAAAGCGGCATTGATTATACAAACTTTAAAAGGATTTATTTTCTGTTCAGTTCACTTTCCTTCTAAGCCAGGCATCACTGTTATGAATGTTTATACTTAAGGTTAGAGACTTTTAGCTTGGGCCAGTAAGCAAACAACCAAGAGCACCCTGGCAACCACCAACAACACCCTAGCAACATGGTGACAAGTTTTGCAAGAGCAATAATTGTAAAAATGTTAGCTTCTCAGTATCAGAATATGACTTGGCCAACTGTGGTTTTTACAAAGAGACCATCCCTGCTGAATGGATTGTTTCTTTGTATCTTTTTCTGCTGAATGATTGTTATTTTACAGAAATATTAAATGTTAAATGATAAGTATCATCAATCTCAGAGGTAGGTTTGTTTCTGTAGAATAACCTCCCCTTTAAGGCATGCTTTCTACTAAAAAAATAACCTCTAGCGAATGTAATTCTGAATTACATGATGGGCTGGAGGAAGTGATTAGCTTATTAAAATGTAATTTAATTGAGTTCAGGCTTTGTGCATGTGCTGGCAGATGACATCAAAACGCATCAGGTGGGTGTTAAAATGTGTGATTGCAAGTGTGTTTGAAATGTCTCTAAGCCACTGCTTTTTCTTTACAGAGGAACTAAAGGCAAGGACATCAACACGATTAAGTCCCTAAGGGTCCTTCGAGTCTTGAGGCCTTTGAAGACCATTAAACGTTTGCCTAAACTCAAGGTAATATCCTACTGTCTGGTTCTTAGCCTGCTTAGCTCTTATCTTACTCCTCTGAGAGCATGCAAGTGGAATTAGAGGGTTTTAGTTGTAAAATTACATGATCTGATACAACAAAGTGAAAGATTATCATTCGTTAGAACCCATAGCAAATCTATCAGTTCAGATCTATCAGTTCTTCATTCAGTCAGTTGAAATCTTGGCAGTCTACTCAAATAATTAGTAAGTAAAGAGATTCATCGCAATGGAAATAGAAAGTCAAGTCAAAATGAATTGTGGGATGCAGTATTCTGCGCATTTTGGCCTGGTTGTGTATTGCTTTTTCTGGTAAATGTAGTAATCTATCTAATCCGTGAATACGGAAAATTAGCATACTGCTCACAGTATACAGTACATTCTTAGCATGCCTAGTATGCTATTCTAAACATAACCTATGATATACAGTTGCACAGATAGTACTGTTTCATTTAAATATGCAAAAGATAAATGACATTTTAAATTGGTTCATCTAAATCAGACTAACAAGAGTTTTCTGTTTTTGTGTCAGTGTTTCCCTAGGTACATTATGTGTTGTTTGTGTGGACGTTTTACAAGCAGGGATGATGCCCCTTGTGTAGACCTCCACATTAACAGCCTTGCTGCATCTTTCTGTTTAATCAAATCACACACTTAGGCACACAAACAAATCGTTTTAGAAACACTCACTGTTATCTCATTACATGGCTAAATTATACATTTAAACTTACATTTGACACCATCATTTATTCATTTGGCTAAATATTCGTCACCAGTGGCATTAGAGCAAATAATAGACTAATAAATAAAACTGCAGTTTAGCTTAGTTACAATACTAATGCACTGATAAAGCCTCACAGGGCCACAGAGACATTTATTCTGCCTACAGAGATCTTATTAGCATTAATGCCGGAAAAAATACATACTACTCAGGGCTAATAATGATACCCTAAGCACATACTTATTAAAAAAAGAATAAAATAAAAAAAAACAAATTCTCCCAAAAATGATGAATTGGCCATTAGCACTATAAACACACGATGTCTGTTTCATTCATACTGGACGCCAGAGGGCGCCCTCGCACAGAAAATCCACATATCCAGTCACAGAAGTAGCGGAACTCATGACCCTCCAAGAAATCCCTTATGTGGACAAAGGCATCAGCTATTATAGCTGTAACTGAGTAAACAGAGCATATAAACGTTTTGAATTATAAAACAAAGACAATAAGCACTCGACTGCGACAATATAGTTTATCTGTGTTATTCAAGCCATCTCTGGTATTTTCATAATAATTAAGTATATTTATAATCCATTGCTAATCGATGTGTTCTTTTAATTAAAAGTAGCCTATGGAGCATATTTTCTGCCTCATTCTGTGACAAGAAGCCACATCAGATCACAAAAGAAAGCATTTGGTGTTGTGGAGTAAAAAGGTTATAATGTTCTCTTTTGTTGGACAACAGGTTTAGAAATGTGAATACAAGGGAAGTTTAGCTTTAGGCATTTTAATTTAAGCATGTTTAGCTTAGTTAACGGAAGGCTACCTGCTGCCACCAGAGCCATTTCAGAGTCATTTCTCGAGTTGTGC